ATAGCAAGACGGTGTTACATGTGCTGTATATATTTTTACTTGTGTTCTATTAATTTCAAACTAAATTACATGTACATGTATGTATTGAATTAAATGAAGGATATGAAGAAAACAAACAGTATTCAATCTTAAAGTCCATAAAACAATACAAAATAATAGCAGAGCAAACACAGACCCCGAAACATCAGAGGTGGGATCAGGAGTGAGCATCTCCTGCCGACCGGTCACACCCGCCGTTTGCTCCTTGTCATGATCAGGAAATAACGGGAAAAATCATCGTCAATTCAGTGTATAAATAATGGATAAACAAGTCTTATGAAAAACGTCAGTCAGCATTTGACTTAATGACAAATTGTATTTGCTGACAAGACCATTGTATCGACCATAGAATTTACGAAAAGATGACTTTAAACGAGATATTGATATTGATAGATAAACGAGATGTTGATATTTTAGTTTCATCAACTTGCTTGTTAATAATTTTAAATATCATTTTCCGGCACATTCACGGTTTTTATGGAGCGAAGATACTGTCGTTTACTCAATTGATTAGTGTACTTATCTTAATTTTGAAATAAAATCTTTAAAAAAAAACACATCAAATTAAAACATTGAATGAACCATCCAGATTTACGCTAGCCTAGTCCACCGCCCTTGGTTAATTACTATATAAAATGAGCTCAAGAAACAACGATGCAAAATTATTGGTCCTGCAAAACGGAGGGAAATTAACAAAAACTGGAGAGTACAGAACAGTCTTCATTAAAAGTAGCACCTCGTATTTGAAACGTTTAATTGAACTCGTGGGCAATACTTTTTGTTTGGTGACATATACGTCCAAGGACTGGGTTTTAGAATCTTCATGATATAAATCAACTCTGATCAAATGATTGTTGACTATATATAACAGATGTCACTATAATAAATAATTTACTATTACTATTAGATAAATACTATTTTATCAAGGGGACCTACATTTGTTTTCATGGGCAATATTTTTCGCTCCATAGTAAAATGAAGCGCATTTACTGTTTTAAAGCATTTTTTTCGATTGATTGACAAAATTAAGCAAAATCAAAAAATGGCAAGTTTAAAGACAAAATTACAATTTTTAAAAAATAACTGATTTTAAACCGATTTTGCAATTACTAGGTAGTTTACGTCGTTACAGTATTTATGTCTTTATGATAAACTGTAGCTCTTAATGAAAGGGAAAATGTTATTAAAGAACAAGCAATTATTACAAGCTCTTCAATTTAAAACATAGAATTCTGAGAATTTCTTCATGATATTTAGTATGTTTTTATGTTAATCCGTTGTGTCTGTCATATTTTGTAGTACTCTATAACAAGACACCCATTCGTTTTTTTTTTTTTCATTTTGAGAAGGTACCACTCTGGTAACAAGATGGTAGACTTTTGTGTTTCAAAATATTCAGTGTACATGCAAAGTTCAGGGGAGATCTACCGTCCAGTTATTTTTAAAGACCCGTCTCAAAATTAAGGAACAATTACATGTACTATAGGATTATATAGGAAAATATCAAGTTTTACCACTTTCACGCAAATATACAAATGCTTTTTTTTTGTTCAAAGTATAATATATGGAGAGTAATACTATTATGTACATTATATGCTTGAACTACAAAAATGTTATCATAAAAAGGTTATAAGCATACGCTATTGAAATTAAAAGCATATAAATTTGAGAATATCATTATTTTGGGTATGTTTTTTATACAAAACTTCGTGTCCATCACATTTTGTAACACTCTATAAAAACATAAATATTCATTATATTTTGAGATGTCCCCTCTGGTAACGAGAAGGTAGAATTTTATGGTTCCTCCACATGATGTACAATATATTATTACTCATTAAATATTATAGTTTGAACAAAACATTTATTGTAGTATTTGTATCATTTGCTTGAAAGTGCTAAAACTTTTCTTTATTTATTCTTCATTTTTTTTATATACTGACAGCAAATATGCATAAACGATGTCTTTAACTTTTATGCATCGTATGACATTACAAACTGTGATCACAAAGCGATCAACATGCATGTGTATTTGGCTTTTTTATCCCTTTTGTTTTGATTCGCAATTTTAGGCCATAGTAACAAAAATACATATCTAACCAATTTTCATACTTTTTAGTCACATAATCAAAAGTTTTCACATATTATGTTCTCATGCATTTCTTTAACCTTTCAATAAATTTTCCATGTGTATATTTCCCATGTGTATGGTTTAAAAATACACCAAGGATTAGAATATATATATCTATCTTTTATCTAAAGTGTATGTTTTCACCTCCATCATGATTTGTCATAACATCTACATGTAAGTGCAGCCATGAATATTGATATGCAGTTTTATTTTCCAAAATAATATATAAATCAAATTATCAAGTAAAAATAAAAAATAGCAGAAATAAAAAGAAAAACAAAATCAGCCAAAGAAATTGTTTTTACATTATCCAAAGAACCCATTTCTATAACGTAACAACAAACTGAAAGTGAAGTTTCTATACTAAGGAAAATATCATATCATCAAAATTTTAAGAAAATATTAATGATAAAAATAACTTACCATCAAAAACCTTTGAAAATTCTATAAAAAAAGAAGAGAAATAATAAAGTGGTCTGCTAAATCTAATGTTTGTAAGAATGTTTGTCTTCTCACAAAGACCACCCAGTGAATATCTTCAGTTCTAACAATTTAATCTGCAACCCACCACTACTATGCTTGTTACATGTATGACTACTCACTCGTATGTTCTATAATGACTGGTAATTATCCATAACACTCTAAGACATCACAAAGACGTATAGAATTACAAAAGAATATTAGTAACATTTTTGATAAATGCACATGGTTTTAATTGCTAAAATGTATAGCATACTACATTTCTTTCGAAGGATGGGGTAATATGGAAGAAAGTAATTGTAATTGACTGCATTGAATTACATGTACGTTTATCAAATCGATTGGATATGGTTTGTAACTGATTTTATTTTCAATAACTGTAATTGTAATCCATTGTATTACTTCCCGTTTCAAGAGCAGACACTCTAACCACTGCGCCACTCAAACGACTTTTGCAAATTTATCAAAGGTAAATAAATGTGTTCTAACAAAAAACCACAGCTAAGTATGAACAAGGATAATTAGAACAGTCCTGCATACAAAAGTTAACGAACATTTACCTCGTACTTTGAAGGTGTATCTACGATTAATTACTATTTTAAGTCTTTTAAAAATGATAAAAATCAAACAATAGTTTAATTTTGAAAATAATTAATGATTTTAATGTACAGTAATAGGTTCCACGCAGTAACATGACATAAGGCGAACGTGACAATCCGATTTCAAACCTTTTCCTTTTCTTCACCTTTTTTCAGTTCTACAGAATTTATATGTATTCTAGAATTTAATAGTTAGACTATGAAGACATGTAACTATTTTCTTTTATGTCCCCATTAGGAATAGTATATCATTTGCGATACAACGATGAAAAGTTTAATATGTATATAAAAACAATGTTTAAATACGTGCAATTGAACCGTTCCGAAACCAACTATTTTTTGATTATCTAGAACAAAAGATCTTTGCATATTTATTAGAGAAAACGTATCATCCTTCATGCTAATAGGGCACAATAACGGATAAATCACATGTATAATATTTCAATTATCTCGATTTCGAAACTGTACACTAAACTTCAATAACCATGATATCTGTATAAAACTGAATTTAATTGATCTTTTGTACCTTTGCGAGGCCTGTATAATAAACAATGTCACGAACTCTATGACATACAAATAAATCTCATATTACATAACGCTTGACTTTTTCTCATGATTGAATCTATGATAAAATGATAATAGTTTATGTGACCACTTTTCATCACATATTTTCATTATTCGAAGCTGCAAAACAAGGGCTACTAAGTTTTCGAGATACTGCATTATAGTACAGAGTCCGTAAACTAGAGTGAAATTAAAACAATTTCAAATTCCCGATCATAAACCTAACAGATCAAAATGTTTACCAGCAGTCTTCACTTAGGCTATGACGTTCTGCTCCTGTCTTTTCTGTTTGCCTTGAGTTACATCGTACTTGTATATTCTCTTCAATCGGAAAGCCAGTCAAATCAGCCTTTAATCCCTTCTACTAGAGATAAACCTGTTTCCCATTGTTATGTATTTCATCGTTAAAATTTCTTTTCCCTTCTTACAGGAGTCTTATTCCGCTCAACATAGTGTTGCTTAACAATTTGTTGCTCCACATTAACGCTTAACGTCACCATTTTGACCATCTTTAATTAAAGTGCTTTTGCACATATGTCATCTATTTGTCATCTACACATGTATGATGTCATATAAATTTATTTTAAATTCGAGTACATCAAATTATAGAAAATCTATTTGGGTAAAATTTTTTACATTATCTTGCCATATAGCCCGATAGCAAAGAAAACTTCATTGACAATGCAATTTGTAAAAGTCAAAAAATTGCCGTGCGCCGAACACTGATATTTAACATCCCTTAAAAGCTCTTTTCATGTGCATATAACACTACAGGCTTTAAATATTTTGTCAACATATCTACAGGATGATTTTCTAACAGCATGCAAAAAATTATTAGCATTGGTTGAATAGTATTTGAGTTGATAAAAAGTTCGTTTTTTTCGGACAATCCTCGTATATATTAAAATACAATTATATTCGGTAGACATCATATTCTGTTCGTTCACTTTCACCTTAGAGACTGTTTTTTGCGAAAAAGTATATGTTTGTTATGTCCTAAATAATAATTAGTAAATAGTAGCTCATATACCTATGCTGAAAAAGAAATCACCAACAAATGGTGATTTGCAAGAAACTTCACATTATGCTGAAATAATTTGCTAAAGCTTATGAGATAATAAAAAAAAATACCAATACAATTGATAATGAGGTCATAAAAATAGTTATTTCTCCTGCAAGAATCTTACCAGGAATCTGCGCAAGTCTTCAACATCATGGTCTTTTGCATAGGCGTGGAGGGGACATTTTCTCCCGTTGTATTTGAACAAATTATCTTCTGTAATAAAAGTGTTGTCTAACTCTTTACCAAACTCTGTAGGTGTACAGCTAAGTCCAACTTTATAATGAAGGTCGATGTTAAATGTTTTTGTAAGAGATGACAACATCTCCATTACTTCTCTTTTAACGTTAATAAAGGCCATATTCATTGATATTTCTTGCATCTGATAATCAAATGCCTGTTGTAGAGAATACAGCATGCGCATCTCCGTAATGTTTCTCAAGGCCGTCTGTATTGATCCGTCTCGAGTATGATTATCATTATACAACATCAGCTGTATGTAACTCTCACTTACACCTAGAACTAGAACATATTCTTTATAATAAAACATAGCAGTGTCAATAAAGATACATTTTCTTCCGTCCATTAATGGTTCCCATCCTTTTTTCAAACAAAGCACAATCAGTCTGTAGAAGAGAAAGACAGGCAGAACAGGGAATTCAAAATACAGAGTCGGTGATTTGTTTGGATGTGAATTAATCTTTGATTTTACGTGCTCTTGAACTGTCATTCTATTCATGCTTGGTATAAAACAAATATCAGACTTTTCTTCTATCGCCATGAGACCCAGTCTTTCCATGTAATTCAACATTTCATCCTTGTATTCAACTGCTGTTTGGTTTTTTGTAGCTGTCCAGATTGCTTTTAAGAATGCCCCGGATATTTCTCCCGTAGTTGTAAATGTATCTAGCGCCTCTGTAGTTGGAGCTGCATCTACTACTTTGTTGAAACTGTCTTGTTTTGAATCAGTCATAACATATTTAAATGAATTTACAAACCACTGAATATCCAGGATAACTATTTCAGGACAAAAATGAAAGTGACTGTCTTCATTTCGCATTGGTTCTTCAGATGGAAAATATAAAATCACACCAATATCGTGATAAAAGCGTAATAAGTCTTTGAATTCCCGTCTGCTTAAAGGAAGCAATTTATCAAATGATTCCTTTAATTTGTCAAGTTCCTGAAGCTTTGTCTCTTTTTTCTCTGAAATGAATTTTTCAAATATAGCCCAATCCAGGGGTATCTCTTCTCCCCAATGGTTTAGTGACTTTACCACTTCCACAATGCTTCTTTCTAATTCTTCTAGACTTTCAAGACATGCTCCATTATGCTCTTTGAGACTTAGTGTAAAATATCTATCGCTGGACAAGTTTTTTTTAATCGTCGAAGGCCTAGGAAACTTCTTGATAAGTTCTCGGCGGTAATATTCAGATTTTTCCTTGAAAATATGATTTCATTATATGATCTGTTGTTGATCGTAATCTTCAAATAATTCTAGATACGATAAAAAATCTTAATAAATTATTATAGATGTGACTTAGAAACGGATATATATATACCTGTTCCGATTTTCCCTCTGCGTGTGTAGCTACAAGAATAACAGGGGCCGCACTTCCACAGTAACAGTTTACAGATTTCAACCAAAACAGGAGATAATCTGCAAAAAAATATTGTACGCAAAACTATGTATATTTAAACAATTACAGAATTTACTGTTAGTATTCTGCAGTGTATGTAATCAAAACATTATTTTGATCATGAAAAAATGAATTTTTGATTTACTTCTGTTTGTTTTAAGTGACAGTTTCTGAGGAAGAAATCAGAACAATGATATACAATTCAATGAGCAATAATACAACGTTTGTTGTGTATTGGAACACACTTGACCAGTGATGAAGAAAACAAGTGTGTGTGTATGGCAGGAACTACTTTTTAATTGAATGAACATGTAACAGTTAAAACCAATAACGTACACATAATATAGTTTCGGAATAAATGGACATAACATTCCTCCCTCTTAAGTTTTGAAGCAAGATTTACCCCTTCACATTAATTTCTGTGTCTTGTTTGTACATAATGTAGTTCACGGAATCATATTACAACATAAAAATGTAAACTATACATTTACGAACAAAGCATTAGCAACATATGTACAAATGAGAAACTTTAGTTTCCCTGTGATACCATGAGGATTATTATGCCTCAGTCTTCACTAGTATCACATAATCACTTCAAACATAATCAGCAAGATGCTTGGGCGGTTTCCTGACACAACTCAGATTTTGGTTCAGGAACAGCTTGAGTAGATGGCATAGCACGGTCGTCATTGGATGGATGCAAAGGACGTGGTTCTACATTGGACGCGGGTGAGTTCCGTTTCGTGGTGTTTGACTTCACTGGTTGTTGACTCACATCTGTGTTACTAGCTTGAATATGTAAGTCCTCCTGAATTGGCACATTCAAAGAACGCAACTGATCATCGTGTCGTTCCCATGTGACTCCTGGTGTTAATTCTACAGAATATGATACAGGTCCAGTCTGAGCTGTCACGGTTCCGAAAGTCCACTGAGAATGATGCTTTCGGTAGTCACGAACAGCAACAGAATCTCCTGGTTCGAATTTACGTAACACACTTTTTCTTCTTTCACGCACTTCATACTGTTTCTCCTCTACCTTCCTTCTGACATCTGGTTTCATGAGATCTAAACGAGATGGTAAGTTTCTGCCCATGAATAGTTTTTTGGACTTTCATTTGTTGTGCACTGTGGAGCGTTACGGTAAGCCATAAGAAAGTTGCTAAGTTTCTTCACCATGCTACCACTTTCCTTTTTACTCGACTTGAGACTTATCTTGAATGACTGCACACATCTTTCTGCTAAACCGTTAGAACTGGGGTGATAGGGTGCTGAGGTTATGTGTTTTATACTGTTTCCTCTGGTAAAATTCGCAAACTCTTCTGATGTGAATTTAGATCCTTTGTCACTTACAATTTGTGATGGTAAGCCATTAAGTGCAAAAACGGTACGTAATACATCTATGGTCTGGGGAAATGTGGTAGTTTTCATAGGTATCACCTCTGGCCACTTAGAGTAAGCGTCAACAATGATTAAGAATATTGAAATGAGAAACGGACCCGCAAAATTGATATGGATCCCTTCCCATGGTCTAGACGGCCATTCCCATGGGTAAATAGGTGCGGCTGGTGGTGCATGCTTTACTGCCTGACATCCAGCACAGCTCTTTGTCAAAAGTTCTATATCCCGATCTATCCCTGGCCACCAAGCATGACTTCTTGCTAAGGTTTTCATTTTAACAAATCCAATATGACCTTGATGTAGCTCATCTAAAACTTGACTTCCCAGTGACGGCGGAATCACAACACTTATTCCCCATACTAGACAGTTCTGATGAATAGTAAGTTCACTTCGGCGTGTAACCTCTGGACACATTATCGTAAACTTTCGACAAGAGGTAATCACGCCTAGTTTCACGTTGAATTTCTTCAGATTTGATAGGTAGATGTTCCAGTTGACTAACATGCAACATCTCCACTTCCGCTTCCTCTTCTTTGTCTACTAATCGGTTACCCTCACATGACAGCTAAGCGGGACAAACTGTCAGCATTGTTTCTTTGTATTTCTGTAGATCATATCATAGCTGTAGCCAGCCAGGAACAATGCGTACATCTGCAGCCTAGCTGCTGTTGTGATTGCGATGCCCTTCTTTGGACCAAATATGGAGATTAGCGGTTCATGGTCTGTAATGAGACGAAAACGTCTTCCATAAACATAAGTGTTGAAACGTTTTACTTCCCAGATAATTCCTAGAGCTTCCTTCTCTATCTGTGAGTAGTTTTTTCTCAGATGTGCTGAGTGAACGTGACGCATTAGCAATTGGTCTCTCTTCACCATTGGGCATAATGTGGCTCAAAACAGCCCCAAGGCCATAAGTAGGGCGTCTGTCGAAAGACATAAAGGTAAGTTTGGATCATAATGGGTAAGTACTTCATTTGATGTTATGAGATTTTTAACAGTCTTGAAAATCTTTTGTCCAAGACCACTTGCGTTCCTTTTCCAGTAAGTTGTACAGTGGGTGAAGCATTGTAGATAAATGGGGAATGAAACGTGCATAGTAGTTCACAATCCCCAAGAATGAACGAAGCTCGGACACATTAGTAGGTTGTGGTACATTTACAACAGCTTGTATCTTCTTCTGTGTCTTTTGTAAACCATGGCGGTCAATATCATGCCCTCAAAAAGAGACTTTATCTTTGAAAAAAATGGCATTTGTGTAAATTTACTCTGAGTCCATATTCTGCCAATCTGCCAAACACTGCGTCTAAATTTCTTAAATGCTCTGCTTCATCTTTACCCGTGATGATCATATCGTCGATGATACACTTCACTGCACGAAGTCCTTGAAGCACCATATCCATTGAACGCTGCGAAATCGCTGGCGCAGACGCAACATCATACAAAAGGCGACTGTAACGATACAAGCCTTTCTCAGTGTTTATCGTAAGTAAGGGAATCGTCTTCTACCTCCATCTGTAGGTAAGCATGTTTTAAATCCACTTTTGAGAATTGTTGTCCTCCAGACAGAGCAGCAAATATATCTTCAATTCTTGGAAGAGGGTACTGGTCAACTTCTAATACTGGGTTAAGAGTCACTTTGAAGTCTCCGCACAAAGGAACTGAACCATCTTTCTTACTGACGGGTACAATCGGTGTTGCCCATTCACTAAAGTTGCACTTCTCCAGGACACCATCTTTCACCAACTTTTCTAGTTCTACCTCCACTTTAGGTTTAAGTGCATAAGGTAACTGTCTGGCCTTGACAAACTTGGGTTTTGCATCAGGTTGAACTGTCAACTTGGCCTTGATTCCTTTAAAGGTTCCTCAATCATCCTTGAATACACTCGAATGTTTATCTAACACAGTTTTGAGATTTTTCTCGGCTTTACATTTTGCAAGCGCTTTTATTTCTGGCCAGTTCAATGTAATCTGTCTCAGCCAATCTCGACCAAACAGTGTAACTCCAGCTTTCTTCACAACATATAGATTAAGGTCCTTTCGCTGGTCCGGGTGTCTCACACTGACTTCTGTAACACCCGCAGGTTTAATTCTTTCTCCTGTGTAAGTCTTCAACAGAATGTCACTGGGTTTCATCTTGACGTTTTGAAATTTCTCCCTGAATATCTTCTCGGGAAAAACAGATACTGCGGCCACTGCATCCAATTCCATTCCCAGACTTACACTGTTTACCGTGGGATTGATCCTTATTACATCATCTGATCTTCTTATGGAGTTAATATCCATCTCTAAAGTCTTGATGTAGATCTCATCACTATCTGAACTGTCATTTATCTTTATCATGTGAACACTCATCTTATTTTTTCTTCTGGCTGCGACATGCATGTTTAGAGTGACCCTTATTGTGACACTTGAAACACTCCTTGTCTCTGTAATAACAACTTTGTGGGTTGTGGTCACCATTGCACCGGAAACATGATTTTCTTCCCTTGAGCGTATATTTCCCTGATGTTCCACCATATCCGTGAGACTTCTTTTTAGTATGTAGTTTATGTACATTTGTACTAGGACTTTGTTTAGAGTGTAATTCTGTAGCATCCCTGGCAACGGCTATATCCGTAGCAGACCTAAAGGTTAGTTCAGCCTCAGATAAAAGTTTATTTTGTATATGCTCATTGCGTAAGCCACAAATAAGTCTTTCTCGTAACATATCATCCAGAATAGCCTCATCAAATAAGCAATGTTCAGATAACTTCCTCAGTGCTGCTACATTATCAAGAATAGTCTCACTTTCTGCTTGCTCCCTCTTATGAAAGCAAAAACGTTCAGCTATTACAAGAGGCTTTGGACACAGATGCTTTCGTAATGTCGCTACTAGGTCGCCATCGATACTTCTGAAGGTTTCTTGGGTCCCGTGAGCCCTCACAGCAGTGAATAAGTCTTTCCACCAATCAGTGTAAGTTAATCGGGTACTTTTTTCTCTGATTTAATTTCATTACAAATAAAATATTGTTCAAGGCCTTCATGATATGAATCCCATGATTCAACTGCACTATCAAATGGTTCAAATCGGCCTATTTTCCCTGCCATGACTGTGAAAGCAAGTGGATCGGTACACAGAACAAATTCTTCCCCCATCCGAACATTTACTTGCACAAATTCTACTGTATCAGAATGTCACACTCACCAAAACAGTTTATCCGAGTAACTCATACATTTATGCGTAGGCTTGAAAACATTTCTCGTCGCCAATGTTGTGCATTGGAACACACTTGACCAGTAATGAAGAAAACACGTGTGTATGGCAAGAACTACTTTTTAATTGAATGAACATGAAACAGTGAAAACAAATAACGTACATGGACATAACAACATTCGAATATATTAGTACGGTATCAGAAAAGCCAATTAAAATGCTTTCTTTTCAAAAAATTTATTCTATTTTATTATAAGGTCTGTGTCTGCTTTTTGATAGTTATTAGCAGCGTCGGTTTGGTCTAAAGGAATGTTGTTTTCCGGGTATTCTTTTTGATATTTGCATTTAAACATAATAAAAAAAAAACAAGACATGAAGTTAGTGTAATCGTTGTTAGATTCTGTGATACTGAACGTGCACATACCGAAG